CACCCCCTGGGGGTGCATGCACCCCCAGGGGGTGCAGGAAGAAAATATTAGAACTTCTATTTATATGTATATTTATATAAATATACATATAAATAGAAGTTCTAATATTTTCTTCCTGCACCCCCTGGGGGTGCATGCACCCCACTTTGGAGACCGCTGGACTAGATGACCTCCTGAGGTCCCTTACAACCTTAATTTTCTATGATTATCAGGCCACCTATTGTTTTCCTCTTTAACCCCTCTGCTCTGTGTCCCCTCTGTCTTTCTCCACTGTCCAGTAACAGGGGTAAGGGTTCCCTGTTACAGTCCCTTTTTTATACATACCAATTATTACTGATGGAAATATTTTCCTGTCAGTCTAATAAGTGAACTTGTCGTTTATCAATGTGTATTGATTAAAAAATGAATCCTGCCAAGCCTAGTCATGTGGTATGATATGCAGGTTCTCCAAATATGTATACAGCTCATTTCAGCTGTTCTGGGTCGTAGAATATCCTTAAAATCATTTTGGTCTGGAAACTTCTAAATATCTAGTCTTAGACCTGTTGCCAATTCTCATCTGTGCTTGGGCAGGTCACTTTTTCCCACTCTCAAGTAGTCTGATAATCTAACAAGAATGATGATACAGTACTTGCTTCCTCAAGAGCAGAGGTTTCCAAACTTTTTCTTATTGCATACCCACTTCCAAATTTACTGGCTGCCTATGTACAATTACCAGCATACATTTTATATTTTAACCCCCTTAAATGACAATTATTTATTGTAATGAAAATTAAATCTGCCCTTACACAATTTCTCCTGTGTACCCTCTGGGGGTGTCTTGCATACTTCCAGGGGTACATGTACCACAGTTTGGGAACCCCTGGTCTAGAGTCACTAATGCATGAGAAGCACAAAATGGATGATCAGAGGTTAACGCCCCTCCTTCCAATCCATTGCCACAAGGAAGGACGAGAAAGTCTAGTTTAGTGCACCTGTTTGAGAAAACAGCGACTATGGACCTAGGGCTGAGCACAGGGCTAAAAGTACATTTACTGTAGACTGAAAAATCAGGACGGTGGTCATTAAAAGGCATTAAAGTCCAGGTTAAAACTAAAAGGAAAACATGCCTCATGAATAGATACCTAAAGAACCAAAAATTCTTGGCACGTAGTGATTTTGTCTTTTGTCCAACATGGAACAACTTGGATGCTGAGCTAGGAAACCATTGTACCTATCTCTGTACTTGCCATACTTTGAAGCTAATTTGTTTTGCTTATGGAGCTCTGTTAAGTGGTGATTAATTATTAGCCAGGAAGGAGGGTCTCCCTCTCTAATATTGGCTTGCTTAGACAGGAGATGTATTCTAAATCTTATGCAGGTAACAGTTTTTTCTCAGAGTATGAGCCAGTCAGTGTTTTACAAAAAAATTGATGCTGAGATTAATGTAGATGTTTCAAAAAAGACACAGTCACACCACACAAGCCACTTATAGTCATTTTATTTGTCTTCATGCCTTTGGGTTCACTACACTTGTTTACAATACAAATACACTATTTGATACAAAATACTCGATGACCATATATTAGTATTTACCTTGATCATATCCCTGAAGTGCATAGGCCCTTCCCCTTTTACAAACAGTCTTGCATAAGCTACTGTACAGATGAGACATACCTAGCGAGGCTGTTACAAAATGAAGAAGCCAGATGCAAACAATTTGGCCGCTTGTTGAACGGTGTAAGTTTCGGACAGGCAATCATATGTGATGTCTTAGCAGTGGTGAAAGGATATTTTATGCCATTCTCTTCTCTGAGTTCTTGTCACCAAGATGGTGGGCTTAGCTATAGGGGCAGCCTTGCAAAATTAAACACGTCATGGCATTCAACAGGCTAGCCTTGCCATGCATTGCAAAAATGAGACCATTGCTGAGGCTACTCTCACACTGAATCACCTTTAGCAGACACACAGGGGTGGGGAGGGAAGGGGAAACTTGTGATGCTACATTAGGCTGCCTAGCATTGACTGCAGTGGGCTAATGATATGCACCATTTTTAATTACTATATTCTTGAATACCTTAATACAAGGACCTCAGATAAACTGACTTCCTTCCCACAGCTTCTCCAGGGAGTGCAACACCACCCTCCTTGGTTCCAAGATCCAAGGTGACTGCCTCTTGCTCCCCACTGCAAAAGCCTCTTCCACGCTCCCTGTAACTTCATCTTGCTACTACCTTAACCTGAGTGATCAGGCATGTGAGGAGAAACCAGAGTCCACTGGAAGAAAGGAGAGTTGTGGCAGTGGAAAAGACAAATCAGGAATTGTCCTGTCCTACCCTGCTCCCAGCAGCACAAACCATCACAAGCACAGCAACTATTAGGCTACCTAGGCTATAGGGAAACAGCTACTTCATAGCTGCTACTCATGGACCTGGCTGTGTTCAGTAGTCAGGGTTTTCTATGCACTCTTGTCATAGTACAGGCTTTTGGTCTGACTGTATTTCATGCTGTAGCGAAGAAATAGCTATAAGTAGCTAAAGGAAGACATTTATAATGGGTTGGCCTAACTAGGCCCATGGCATAGTCAGCCCAGCTAATGCACACCTGCTTTCCACCACCCACTACAGAAATATCCACCATACAATTGAAACACAATGCAAGAATTTTTTGGTGTTTTTTTTGTTTTGTTTTGTTTTTGGTTGTTTGTTTTTTAAATCGGCCAATATCAGTTTGTATGCTTTTTTCCCTATCAAATCCCCCCCACAACCCCACCAAGTGCTTGTTTCATTACTGGGCCAAAAACAAATCTGTTTTAGATTCTGGTTTAACTATAAAATAACTTCATTGTGTTCAGTGGAATTACAATAATAGCAGAACTAGGCTTATGAATCTTGAATCTCTTCTGCTGCACTAAGGGAAACAATAATAACCAGAAAAGGCACCTTTTAAGGACCTTTCAGTGATAATCAGTACAAGACAGTCACAAAACAAAAGCACTAGGGGGTGGTGCCTTACCTGGGTGCCAGTCTGCTTAATGCAGCCCAGCTCTTGTGCCTTCACTTGAAAGAGACAAGCCTTCAAATACAAGCAGCTGTTTTGTTTTCTTTCCCGCTCTGCCCCATAGCTTGGCCTGTCTTCAGGCAAGAACTTCATATTCATGGCTCACTGCATCTCTTATTTTTTATTCCTTAACTGCAATGATTCCTGCAGCTCATTCTATGAACCATGGCAGTGATGATTGACGCCTTCAGTCTGTTACACCAAGTGTAGCAGGGTTATTACCACAGCTTCTTTCAACCCTTTGGACAAGGCTACTATTGTTTAAAATTTGAAATGACTAAGCAATGAGCAATACTGGAGTGTTAAGTGCTATTTTATCCCTAGAGCAAACTGGCATCAGCCACAGAAACCTTCCTTTCTGTCCCATGGATCTATTTGTCTTATAACTGCACCTATGGCATCCATAGGGGATGAGCTTAGGTAAGTAATAGTCTTGAGAGCAAGTAGTCAGCTGTCTTCTGCTGGTATGGAGTAGAGGGAAGAATATGGATCTGAAAGGTCAAAGCGAGGGCTCGGAGATGACTGAGTGCCTATGATGCTGGGCTTTGGGGGGGCGCAGGGATCACTGGTGGTGGAACAATCAGTCCGTGGCTGAGAGCTATTGTACTAGCAATAAGCCAAAAGCAGGTTCTCTGAACTCCAGGGGCACCTATGCATGTGCTGCACATCTGCTCTGATTAATCAAGTCTGCTGGAGTGTGCTAATTAATGTGCTCAAGGAGTCGCATCTATTTAGCATCCCTGAGCTTCAAAATGGCAGTAGGGGCTGTTGAACTAAAGCTCATCAAATGAGCTTTAGTTCAAGCGCCCCTGCCACTGTTTTGAAGTGCAGGATGCTGAATATACATGGTGCTGAGGCCGCTTTAATTAGAGCCGCTCTTGGAGCGCCTTCCCCTCCACCCTGGAGTGTGTGTATAGATGCCCCAGGAGGAGTTGAAGAGTGGGTTTGAATCTACATTCAGACTTCCTCCTTCTGGTTCCATTTCTGCACTGGATCCAAAACCAAAAAGCACTTACTTGGTTACAGTTTGAATGCGTCTGAAGCACTGCAAGGTGACAGAATTTATGTGAGAAGGTTTGAATCTACCGTTTGGGCTGACGTTACTCGAGAACAGTTTGCTCAATGCCATTCAACCACATTTCTAGACCTAGCTCTTCAACAATCCAGTTCTTTCCAGATCTGAACACCTCTTTCTTAGCCCAGAATCATAGAAGTAGGGTTGGAAGGAACCTTGTAGATCTTCAAGTCTGACCCCCCGCCTGGGCAGGAGAAAAACTGGGCTTGGATGACTCCAGCCAGGTAGGCATCAAGCCTCTTCTTAAAACCCCCCAGGGTAGGAGCCAGCACCACTTCCCTTGGAAGTTGGTTCCAGATCCTAGCTGCCCTAACTGTGAAGTAGTTCAAGAAGACTTGCTTCTTGTTAGCTCACTCACCCCAAGTCACCTCAACTGGGACTTGAACTCAGATCTCCCACCTGGTAGGCAAGAACGCTGCTACACAGTCACCAATGGTACACAAGACTGCTGTGAACATTTCTTTAAAAAAAACACCCAAAGGTTTTGGCTGTACTCTTCCCCACCATGGAAGTTTTCATGAAAAAAAAAATCCTAGAAATATTTTTGTCTACTCGGTTTTAAAAATATATATATCTTCTGACAAACTGAATTTGAGTCTACCAATTTCAACTCACCAAAACATGGTAATAAAACCTTTTAAGTCATCCATCTCTTTCTGTTTTCCTTGTAAGCATGGCATACCTAACTGAACCTGTATATACACACAGAGATACACAAACATACACACCACAAATAAGAGTACAGAAATTAGTCTACATCCCTGCTATTGTCATGAATGGGGAGGAAATTGATGCTGTGACTTGCGTATCTTCCTTTGCTCATAGCTAGGGGTCTTGCAGTTTTCGTGGAAAGATGGCCAGGAAATATTGTATTGGCTGTGATTTCCTGCAAAATCAACCTACCCGCCCCCCCGCCCCCAGCTTGTTATTCATATAATACACTGTTTTAAAATGTCCCACGCTTACTGCAATACAAAGACAATGTGACAATCACGGCAGCCACAGATGATGTGATTGAGAGTTCCTGTTTGCTCATGACGTAGGCTATGTGAAGGTGCCAGTCAGAGAAGTGAAAAGGTATTGGCACCACCTTTTACAAAATGAAATTCAATGCCAATACCCCTCCACCAATCAGCAATGAGGGGTGGGGCTGCTGGGAAATACCCATGAAATTGGTTCTTTGTGTTGCAACCACGCTGTGAAAATTACTTTATCTTGTGGCAAGTTCAGTAGACCCCCTACTCATAGCCTAGAGGTTTTTTTTTCAAAATGCTCCTGTTACCAAAAGTAATAGGAAAACTCACTATCTGGGGAACCTGAAGAGGGAGCGGGCCCTGTGGATGTTGTCTGTAGGGTCCTAGGCTAGTGGGAATGTTTTAGTGTCTGCAAGTGAATCGCTTGCTAGTGGCTGGTCCATGAAAAGGACTGTAAGCTGTAACGCTGGCACAGCTTGTAGATTATCCTTTCAGCTCATGTGAAAGAGGACCTGAGGTCTAGGCCTAGTTATATCCATGAAATCTGTACAGCTGTGATATACAACATACCAGCAGCAGATGATCAAGACGACACAAGCAACCACCAAATTATTATATTGTATAATATAAACCTGCTCAACATAGTGTAAATCTCATTTTAAAATGATGTGGAATAATTTCAACATCAACTTCCACAAACTTTTAGCGCCATATTCCACCAGGAGGGGAGGAAGAGGAGAGTGGTGGATATGAGTTTAATCCTACCTCTGGTTTGGCGACGATGGCTTAGACCATCCTTATCAAATATGGTTCCTCATTTCTGAGGCCCCCCCAAAACCAAACTGGATGTTCTGGCTTGTTTCATTTGAAGAAAGGGGACTCACCTCACTGCCTGGATCCAGAACCAACATTTGAACTGCTCCTTTATGGTGACAGATCAGGAAACCAGGCCCACATCTTCCCTGTTGTTTCTGCTGCTCAATAGACCCACTTCTATGGAAATAGACAGCCACTTATTTTTTAGACAGCACTGCTGCATAAACAGCCCCTTGTGAGTACACTGTAAATTATTAATGCACATCTTTACACATGAATTCATTTCCTATGCCTATATTTGACAATACACTTACTGAGCTATATTTCATGCACAAGGTGTTCAAAATGGATCAGTGGAGCTTTGTGTTTTAAACTATCATACAAATACTGTGTTATGGAAACGAGTTGTAACCCCTTGGAATACAAACAGTATCTGGAATCCAGATTGGGACACAACATCCTATCTTCGGCCTTTATAGGGTATTTTAAACCTTTGAGCAGTACTGGTGACTGCTGATGGTCAGGCCTTGTTATACATCTCTCTCTCTCTCTCTCTCAACTAATGCTGACCCATTCAAATTCCACTGAACAACAAATTCTTGTAGAAAGAGGTGCTCTGGGTCTTTTTTGGATGGAAGGAATTTTAAACGGCCAGTACCTTATAAGATTTGGGTTCTGGAAAAAAAATTGCCCACTTTTTTTTGCATTTCATCCCTTTCCCTTATAATTAAGCTAGCTTCCCACCTCCCTCACAAACCATCCAGTATGACCGGCATCTTTCCTCTGCCTTGCCAGTGATACTGCAAATACTGCATATTCAAGGACTTTTGAAGACTGTGCTCTAGCTGTAATGCAACTTGGGAACGTACTCGTGTTCCCATCCAGAGTTGCTTTGTCCAATTTGTTTCGAATGAGTGACGCTTGTCCCAGCCCTCCTCGCCTCTCTGCCATCTGGAGGAGATTTCCAAACGTCCCATTCCATAGCAGTTAGTTACTAGTCTGGCAAGCAAAGCTCCAAACATGAAACACTCAAGCAGCGAGTCATGACTTTACATTTAAGCAGAGCACACACAATTGAGAAGAAGCTCACAGGAAAGGGCACAACAACAATCATGCAAATGAGTTGATGCAACTGAAAGCTGGGCCTTGCAGTGAACATTTATTATCCGCTCTCCTTGCAGCAGGGGCTCTTGCGAGTTGAAGCCCCTTGGTTTATTGGAAAACACGGCTTCCAAGGGTGGCACTTTAGAGCCAGTTGGCACAATATGGGAAGTAACACTGTCTGCTCTTTTGCTTGCAGTGTGTGGGTAACACGGATAACCTCTTCAAGGCTCACAGGCCATGTGGGATGAAAGTCAAGAGCTCTGGGGTGCTCTCAAGGCCCTTGATGGGCTACATGACCCTTGTTTCTAAGGACAGAGTCCTCGTAGTTGCTAGCACAAGGTGGTGCTGATGCCTCCAGGGGCAAGTCCTGCTGTTGATATCCATAGTTGACATTCCCACAGGGGAAGTGGCGGAGCCTAAAGAGAGGCACTTCCTTAATACTAGCTGTTAGTGAGGATGGTTCTAAGAGCAGGGAGGAGCCTGGTAGCCTGCCAGTCACCACACTGGGCCCCACTGTACAGTTTCCTTCATGCCCCAAATTCTCCCTCTCAGACACCTCTTTTTCCAGCAAGGAATTATTTTTGATGCCCGTCTTCCCTGCAAACCAGGAGCCATAGGTTGGATTCCAGAGGTTGGTGGGCTTGTTTTGGGACCCTCTGCCTTTGTGAAGCTCAGAAGCTGGGTTGGACTGTGTATAGGCCACGCTGATATGGCCCCCTTCCAGGCCTGGGCGCACTTTAGCAGGAATGGGTGGCTCAGAGGCTGCCACCTTCAGCAAAGGCTTTCCAGGAGCAACAGTGGTGGGCAGAGGGGGTGGAGAAGGCAGGGCCTGCTTGTCATCCTTCCTTTCTTGGCGTGGGGAGACCAGCAGAGGAGGGATTCCTTCAGGGTCTTCTGGGCGCATTGGGACTTTTTCCTCCTCCTCTATGCATGGGCCATATTCCACAGGCAAAGCAGTGTTGATGACATCAGGGTCCTGCAAGAGAGAACAATCAAACTGGTACCACCACTGATGTTCAAGCATTGCTAGCATCCTGCAATCATGCAGGATGGGGTGCCTCTCCAGCCTCCAAACTTTATATACAAGGGGCATCTGTGAAATACAGCTAGCTCTGGAGTGGAACATGACAACATTTAAAACAGTAACCTAAGAGTTATATTATACAATAGTTTAAGGCAAAAGTGAGGAAGAATTTTGGTGTTGAGTTGGAACTGGAAGGAGAACGTTGGGATGAAATATAGATTCCAAAACAAAGCTTATAGCACTCTTTGGTACCGCTGAATCAGTCACGGCTATGGAAACATAGGAACGTGGTGCAGGAGACGGTGAGGTCGGGGTATACAGGGCAACATTTGAAGAAGCACCTCAGTTCCCCTGGACCTGAGGGGCCTCAAAGGGACTAGGTCCCCCAAGCCGTTTGGGTGCTTTTTCAAAAGTTCCACAGAGAGCTGTCTCATGGCTAGAAACTGGTCGACTGCTGACTGTTGATGGGCAATACTGGATTTAACACCTCCTGCCCTAAGAACTAAAATGCATCTGAAATATGAAGAGGTTAAGCCTGTTAATCATCCCTAATTTACAGATTGGGGAAATGAAGCCTGGAGAAGGAAAATGGGGTGAACAAGGCCTCTCAGCCAGTCTGTATCCAAGCTGGCAATAGAATAATCCCCTAGCTGTTTCATTTGCTACACCATGCTAAGTCTCAACTGGGCCACTTGGGCTAATCAGTTGTGTCCTAAACAGGATGGTAAAGAAGACGCAGTACTGGAGAGTTCACCCAATCTCTCCCTCCTCTGCCTGACTAGCACCCCAGCTGCAATAGTCCAAAGCTGGCTGGTCCTAATGGCATCAAATGACTGAGATAAGGAAATTTAGCTGAATCTAGAGACAAAATTCCCCAGAGGTTAAGCGGGTCTGCTAAAACTGGCATTCTGGGTGGGGACCATCTTGGGTCAGTACTTGCTAGACTGTAAAGAGAGGCTGGTACCTGGCTATGCCTGTGCAGCACAGTCAGAGAAAAAAAGAACACAAGGACAAGAAAACATCTGATGGATTGATTCAGGCCTCTGGTCTGCTGGAAAACTCTACGTTTAAGCAGAAGCAGCAGTCACAGAGCTGCTACTCCTCTTGGCCTGTGGCAGCGCATGTATATAGTCAGTGAGAACTCCTCCCTCTTTGGCAGGGAGATGGAGACATATATAGTTGAAGGGCAGGCAGGATCCAGCACCTCCCAGTTTACTGCTCAACACTATTTTCAATCTAATACAATGCATATCTTCACAGCCTAGTGCAGTGCTACCTTCCAAGTGCCCTGCACTCTGGCTTGCTCAGACTGTTTCTTTGGTGGGAGGTTCCCCTCTTCCCCTTTCTGCCTTTTATTAGATGAAGGAAGAAATGAACACTGATACCTGAGTGCAGTATTCAATCCTCTCCAATATTATAGCAAAATTTGGTCGGTCTTCAGGCTGGTGCTGCCAGCACTGGGTCATTATACGATACCTACAAGAATAGTCAGACAGAAGATGAGGAGTGGCAGGAAGGAAAAAGGCAGATCACTTTGGTCAATAAAGACCATTACTTCACTGCAACCCAGAGATGATCAGGGCCCACCAGCCAACCAATTATTCAGTATGCTGCTGCAGTGGCCAATTAGAAATCCATTCCCATGCAGGTTCAAGTGGGAAGCCCTGTACCCACCCCCTGTCTGCATGCAGATACCAATGTAGGTAAAAAGCCAGATACGTCTGTATGTGCTGCTGTTGGAGACATGCCATGAAGATTCACACAACTGATGAAAAACAAAAAAAAATCTTCCCTTAGGAGGATTAGGGGGACGATCTAAGGCTGTAGCTATTTCCATCTAATTCCTGCCTCCCTTCTCACCCATTCTGAACACTGTTTGCGACTGAGGAAACCCCTGTTGTGCAAAGGGGTCTTCTAGCCAGGAAGAATGGGCAACAAATACTGTGCCCAGACCTTTTGTTCTCCAATACATCAGTTGTATGTTCCATCTGAACAAGGATGAGCCCACCCTGCCATCCTCACTGATCATCAGACAGCCTGTTCAGATGGAGTCAGGCTGTTATACCCTGCCAGCATACACTATCCTTTGGGAGCTGGTGAGGGAAGTGTTACCTTGGGAAACTAAACTGTACAGTGCAATTCTAACGACAATAATAGCAGGCTTATACTGCCTGCTACCTTTTGCTTCAAAGTCTCTCAAAGACTCAGTCTATTGGACTGATTTTCAAAGGCACAGAGGACCTACAGCTCCCTCTGATTTCCAGTGAATTTTCAGGTGCCTAAGTGCATGTGAAAGCCAGGCCATACTATAGAGGTACCATTGCAATGCAACCCCCAGTGAGGGTGGAATCCAGCAACAAAATAACCTATCTGTCTGAAACTACACAGGGAATCTGTGCAGGCTTGCTTTGATATAATAATCAGTGCAAAAGTGTCTTCTAAAAAAGCCCACAAGGCATCTTGGATAGAGATAAGTGGCTTGGAGTTTCTGCCTCACACTGAATCTGAAGGATAAAGTACTGACCTAACTTAACTCATGACCCATACTAAGTACTCCCAAAGGGCACTGACCGACAACCGGAAAGAAAGTCTTACACTTGATTTCACAAAGAAAAGGTTAATTAGGATATTCAGTAACTACATGATAATAAAGTCAATAATTTTCTGACCAGAGCAAAGAATTCAAAACACAGAATGAACTATACTTATACTTATTGTATTTCTTAAAGTCTCGTACACAGGGCCAGGGCAGTTTTTGGGTGGATCCATTCTTCCTCCATTTGTTACGAACTCAAGTACCTCCTGGTTACTTTTGCTAGGATAGGGCATGTATCCAAGAGAGAATATCTCCCACAGCAGTACCCCAAAAGACCTGGATACAGAATGAAAAGAAAGAAGGATAAGGATATGTGCAAAAATTAGTGTAATTAGAGGGCTATGAACTTAGATTCAGTAAAATCAGTATTGCTTTGTGCAATCCACTATCAGTCAACCTCTGGAATTCAGTGCTGAAGAATACTGGAAAAAGTAGCTAGGTTAAAAGGAAAAAATAGGTTATTTTATGAATATCTATGACATTGATTGTTAAATAAGCCAGGACTGTGATAAGGGTAATTAAATCTGATGCTTCTGACTGCAGGTCAGCTTATGAGTAGTCGAGTAATCACTCCAGGAAGTAATAATCATTCTACCCTTGTATCCAGTTGAACAGTTGCATGGAGGAATTGCGTACCTTTGAGCTCTCAAGTATCAGCCACTGTTGGAGGTAGGCAAGTGGTCTTAGTGGACCCAGTACCTCAAGCCCTTTATAAGAATCCCTGCAGTCCTAAATAAGCAGTGGCGCATTGTGTTTTTGTAAAGATGACATGAGTGAGCCCCTTGCTGGGTCTGGATCCTAGATATTGCAGGAAACTGGAATAAGAACGTTCTCCTGATTACATCCTAATTCTTCATCTGGAGTGTGGAGTGGCCTTGGCAGGACATCCTTTGAGGCAGTAATCTGGCTGGTGGCTTGGAAAATGACAGCTGTTTGAAAGTTGCAGCTGCTATGTGATTGGGAACAATACAGCCGTCCAGACTCAGCCCTTTGGCACTGACAGACAGCAAATCTTAGGACTCAGCGTGACCCATCAGCTGGGGAATAGGCTCTTGCTCACTCCAAACTCCAGGAATGGAGCTGGTGTTTGTTAATACCGATAGCTTCACAATCTCCTCCTCCCTCCCAAACACACTGGCTTGCACTCCTGGCTTCCTGACTCACCTTCGCCTAAGCATCTCTTTCCCAACCCCCAGAAGTCCAGCTTTTTCAACAGTGGCTTCTCGCTCCCTGACACAGGTGGTTGTCAGCCAGGGTACATACAGGGTGTGACACAAACAGCTTCAGTGACTGCTTAGGGCTTTGCACTTTTGGTCAAGCCCTTCCCAGCCCCTTGCTGACTCTGGTTTGCAAGCCAGCCCCATTTCCTTCTCTCTTCTCTGGCACCAGGAAAGTCATTGCTTACCCAACAATGTACACTCATTCTGCTGGTACCAGAAGTACAGGTCCTTCTGCTGAAAGGTGCCTGGCTTGGACTGATATCAGCCTCCTTTCATGAGTAGAGAGCTGGCACCTTCCTTTCGGTTAATAACCGATATGGCATTTTAACCACACCCATTGCACCCCTCCAAAGAGAATGCCTTCAATTTGCAAGTGGATAGCAAATAATTGGTACAACAGCTAAAAAGAAAAAGGCCCACCATGTGTCTGTTTTTGATGTAAATACTCCTTCCATAAAGGCCTCTGGCGGCATCCACTTGACTGGCAGCATTGCACAGCCTCCCTTTCGATAATAGCTGGCCCTGCAGAGGAAAGATAAAAGCGGACAGTCACCCAAGGATTCAGAAAGAAAATGGCCTTAATGTGTAGTTCTTTTCTAATCAAAGGATTATAATTACCAGTCTGGGGCTTGGCTCATTTGGTAATGGGCTTAAATGGGGGCTTTTCTTAAAGACGAGCAGCATGGCAGGGACGATGCAGAAGAGATCTTTCTGTGTTCATATACACAGATGCTATAGGCTGCATGCTTTCCTCACTCTGTGCAGCTGTAAACCTTACCCATAAGGACAGTCCCACTGACTTACATCCCCTCAAAACCAATAAAAGCCTGCAATAAACAAATCCACTCGACTGCCCAATTAGCAACAAAATGCTCCAGAGGAGAGGAATGAACAGGTCCTTGCTGTTGCAGTTGGTTGAAAAGAAGGATGCCCAGACGTTACGGTGACAAGAACGTCAACGGTAAGTAATGATCCCTTTGTCAACTGAAAGTGAAGCCCATTGATATCTAAGTTCTGACAGTGGCAGGCACAGACTGCTCCCGTATCAGATCTCAAGCTAAGCAGAGCTGGGCCAACTCGGCACTTCCACAGGACAGTCCCAAGCTGCGCTGCTGAGCCAGTAAGTGGCACTTGGGCCTTGGGAGTCAGAATGCAGCCTATTCTCCAGCCAAATGGTAGGAGGCGCTGTGCTGCTGAAAGGCCTGCCTTGCAGATGAGCTGTCTAACTGAGGTCCTGACCATTTGTGGTCATTAAAGATTTCCTGACCCTTCTTGCAAGTCATTTATTTTAGTGGCTTGGCTAAATTCCAGTTTAGGTAATTATATTCTCCTGACCCTTCCCCCACCTCTTTTATATGCAGTACATTGAAAAGACTTACTCGGGACACAAAATAAAAGACACAGGGTGAGTGCCAAGGAGGAAGGAGATTAAACTCAGAATGATTTGGGGTCACAGAACAAAAGGGCACGTTCTTGGTTTACACCACTTCATGGTCAGAAAGCAAAGGGAAGAACTTAGGGACAAACTGCAAGAGAAGGGAGAGGGACCAGGGAGTAGCCTTCAAAGCACTGTCAAATCAACACCTAGAAGCAAATTCTAAACACAGCATTGGAGCCATAGGGAAATCATTCCCGCAGTATTTCTTTTACATGGGCTACAGCACGCGATGATGCTTTACCAGGCAAAATACCTCCCCCCTTCTGGTAAGTTTGTGTCTCAGCACACTGGACTTGGTTCTGTTACCTGTATATGTCTCGGGCCATTCCAAAGTCTCCAATTTTAGCTACTCTCCCAGCCCCTTGACAAGTAAGGAGACAGTTCCTGGCAGCAATATCCCTGCAACACAGAGGGGGCAAAAAGAAAAGGAAAGGGGAGAAAGAAAAGATAATAACCATTTAAACTTTCAGCTATTTTGCAAAACCAAAGGACATCACAAGAATAAAGTTGGCCTAATTTGCTGGCAGAGGTGAGAGCCCATGAACCCCAGAGTAGTCAAGACTGGTGAATAACAAACCCTGGTTTATTTATTTTCTTTTTTAAAAGAAACTCTTCAGGTAGTTGCATATTGCTGTCTGTAATCATTCTTTAAGACCTTTCATCTGTGCAAATGATTCCCTCACCACAACAATGGGCCATCTGCAAACACCCCTTCCTCATGAGAGCTGTCAAAACTGTAGAAAGTTGGAAGCAAAAGATTTGACTTGGACAATTACTTTCTTCCAACTACATGCTGCCTTGGGTCATGAGCTCCTGCCTCTGGGCCTAATATGTCTTTGTTGTACATGTCACAGGCAAATAGAGCAGCTCTTACACTGTGGAGAATGCTCAAATCTGCATTTCAGAACGTAGATGTGCACCTGAACTGAAGCTTGCATCTATGTCTTCCCTTTTCGAATGGGCTGAACTATCCTCCCCTGACTATCCTGGACTTAGGGGTGGTTCCAGCAATGTGACTTAGTCTCATGTCTGTCAGAATAAGTAAGCCTGGTAAACTGACCTCAGAAGAGTGAACTAAAAAAATGGCAAAAAGTTCATGGTGCTCTTGCAGTGCCAAGCAGCTCTGCTCTATGTGACAGCTGGACTTTTCCAGTGATGCTACAGTAGCCACAAGCACTCCCATGCACATAGAGTGGTGAAAGATAAAGTGCAGATAAAGGAAGATCAGGATCATCTCCGTGTCCCATAATGCCTCTGACCTTGTCGCTGGATAGACCACAGATGTAGCTAATAGCTATGCTTAAATATGGTAGATACTATCTAACTATATTAGGTACTATCTAACTGCCTCCCTAAACCAGAATTTCTCCTCGTATACAAAAGGAGCTAGGAAGGTGTAAAGCATGTGACAGATACCTGTAACTACTTCTCTGAATACAATTTGTAACCATGCGTTTGTACATTATGGAGGAAGAGGTTAAAATGGAGTACTGCATCCAGTTCTGGGTGCCACAACTCAAGAAGGATGTGGAGAAGCTTGAGAGAGTGCAGGGGAGAGCCACGCGCATGATCATAGGGCAAGAGAACAGGCCTTATGAAGAGAGACTGAGAGCCATGGGACTCTTCAGCCTGGAAAAGCACAGGCTCAGGGGGGCTGCCTATAAGTACATAAGGGGTGTACATCAGGATCTGGGGGAATACCTGTTCACCAGAGCGCTCCAAGGGATAACAAGGACCAACAGTCATAAATTCCTCCATGACAGTTTTAGGCTGGATATAAGGAAAAACTTCTTTACTGTCCGAGCCCCCAAGGCCTGGAATAGACTCCTCCAGAAGTGGTGCAGGCACCTACTCTGGACTCATTCAAGAAACTTTTGGGTGTTTATCTTCCTGGGATCCTTTGACCCTAGCTGACTTCCTGACCTTGGGGCAGGAAGCTGGACATGATGATCTTCGAGGTCCCTTCCAGCCCTAATGTCTATGAAATCTATGTCTATGAAAATGGAGCCCAGCCTGGCCACCACCCCCACTTGGATCCTCCGAGGATCTGGAACCGCACAGAGACCTACCCTGCTCTGGGGAGTGCTAGGTAAGAGGTAGCACAGGGGTCGGCAACCCCTGACATGCGTGCCAGAGCATGGCATGCAAGGCCATTTTGCTCGGCATGCCACATCCAGCCCGGGCTCTGGGCAGCTGCTGCCAGCTATGGAGCCCGGGCTACTCACAGCAGGCAGCCAGGAGGCTGCAAGCCCTGCTGCAACCAGCCTGGGCTCCATGG